CTGGAATTGAAATCCGCTGATATAGAATAGTAGCCTACTACTTGTACTACAGCATATGTACTGTGCACAGTATGCAGAATTTAGGGGGAATTTTGGGAAGTTTGTCAATCATCGTGTGACTCATTACTTGATTGGACTAACTAAAAATATCTGTGCACGAAATCGGATTCTAAATATAAAATAACAATATTTATATCTTGGTCATGTGATACTCCAGCAAATACATTTTTGGAATGTTTATAATTGCATTTTGCATACTGTTGGATAAGTTTAACTTAGTAGGGGATGAAGCAAGTGCACTTTAAACCTGTGACAAGGAAAATGTAATGACATTTCATGAAGTATTTGTCAACCAGGCCGTTAGGTAATATTCTGGTGCAAATGTCTTGATGTAGGCCTACTTTTGTTCCTGTGTCTCATATCATCCTTCATCCATGTCATCACAGTTATTAAGCATATCACCTTCCACACTGTCAGAGTCCATGCACACATGATAAGGACAACCCAGACGAAACGCTCAGGATCAAGCAACGCTCTTACTGGAATCTTCAGTCAATGACCTGGCACAATGGTGAATTTTAACCCCTTTTCCAGTTATGGAAGCACTGGAACTGAAATCTGACACTGATCCAATACCTTTGAATGATTGTGTAATTCATTTATACTGTTGTTTTTGTGTAAATGTAGTCATATATAAATTATATACTTATAACTTTTTTTTGATTGCTACATTTTAATTTATAGACTTTAGACAAAAATCATACCGAAATTCATATTGTAAGAATGTAATTTAGTTTGTTAGTGATTCACATTTTTTTTCATAAAAAAAGTATTTTGAATTTAACTTATTTAGTGCTTTGCAAATTCATTCATAAATGCATGCATTTATTTATTTAGCTTTTTTTTGCCTTCATTGCCTTCATTGTTCATTTTACTTACTTTCTGAACTTGCGTTAGTTTTAAAATATCATTTAAAATCTAAAATGTGTAATAAAATTAAATTGTGTATAAAAGTGTATATTATAATGGTTTGGTTTTCAATGGTTTTTATACCAAGGTGGCAAATGACCAAGTGCCATACACTGCAGCTTTTTCCTTTTAGACACAACTACAATTTGGTGGATTAAATATGATGATGTTTATATGAACTGATTTTGAGCATCATTTTAATTGGCATACTGAAGGAGACAATACCCTTGTGAAAAAGAAGCGTGCTTAATTGTACCAGTAGTGTACTTCCGATCTTAACAATGTATATTAAAAAAAAGTAAAAAAAAAAACTGTAAGTACAGATAATGTAATATCAAAGAAATATAATGCCATTTAAGTATACTTTCAGAGTTCATTTTCATGACTGTTTTGCATTTAAAAAGTGGGTTTCACTTTATTTTGATGGCCCCCTTAACACATTCTTTTGACTATAAGTAACGTTGCACCTACATATCTACTAAGTGTCACTAGAGTTTTAGTAGAGTATTAGTAGACTGGTAGGTTTAGGGTTAGATTAAGCTGACACTAGCAAAGTTACTTTTACTTATAGTCAGTAGAATATCTATTGGGGAGCATCGCAATAAAGAGTTATTAAAGGGATAGTAAAGCAGAAAGCAGATATTAAAGGGATAGTTCACCCAAAAATCAAAATTCTGTCGTTAATTACTCACCCTCACTAGTGCCATTTTAGAGAGTATCACGATGTATGCACGTGCTTTCCTCTGAACGTAAACAAGGCGCAGTGCATGTGTGTACAACGTCAGCAGCACCATGCGCATGGGTTATTTACGTGCAGATCAAAGCGCGTGCATGCACTGTCATACTCTCCAAAACGGCGGTTGAACGTTTGAACCACTGATGTCACATGGACTTTTTAAATGTATGTATCTTTGTTCATTTTTAACAATCTGACACCACTGATTATAACTTAATTGGCTTTTGTAAACATTTGCTTTAAAATTAATTACTTAATAAGACAATGCACAAGTGAAGATATCTGGAGACCCAAACAGCTGGTGTCAGATTGAATAATTTTGTTGAAGGTCTTGCGGGTTTGGAACAACATGAGGGTGTGTAATTAATGACAGAATTTTCATTTTTGGGTGAACTATCCCTTTAAGCAGACAGGCTAAAAATACTCTTTTATAAGAGTTACTTGACATGTAGGTGCATTGTTACTTATTGTAAAAGGAATGTTCAAAAGGGACCATCAAAATAATGTGTTACCAAAAAGCGCACTTTGTAATGCTTCAAAGTACATTTTACATATTGTTTTAAATCTTTTGTCATGCGTTAAATAAGTACATATATTTTGATGTGTTGACTAACATTCTGAAGCACATGTAAAATACTTGATTATAATTTTAGCTACATTTAAGAAAATGTTGGTTTAACAATAAATGCTTGTCAGTACATTTGGCAAAACATATTAACTATAGTTAATTATAGTTTCAGAGACAATAGTAATGAGTAATAATAAAATTATGTAAGTCCTACTTAAGCGAGTCAAAAACACTCTAAAGTTCAGCTAATTGCATTTAATATAAATTTAAACTATACTACAATTTCATTTAATTGCAATTACCCTGTAAGTAAGTGTCTGAAAAAATACAGTATGTTTAGTTCACAATTAATTGTATTTTTTCAAATATATTATTTCCATAAAGTACACATCATTTTCACAAGGGTAGGATTAAACTAATACTTGCATCATGAGAAGATTATGGTGAGAAAATCATAAAGAATAAGTGCTTAGTTACATGCCAGATCCTCTTTTGGCCAAACATTCTATCAACCACCAATTCTTTATTCAGAACTAAATGTTCTGGCCTGTTTGTGGTTTTAAATATATGTGACTTTTTAAATGTATGTATCTTTGTTCATTTTTAACAATCTGACACCACTGATTATAACTTAATTGGCTTTTGTAAACATTTGCTTTAAAATTAATTACTTAATAAGACAAGCACAAGTGAAGATATCTGGAGACCCAAACAGCTGGTGTCAGATTGAATAATTTTGTTCACTGTTTAAAATGTCTTATTGATTTTAATGAATATGACATGTTGGGAGATATGACTGGGTGCAGTGACTGTGTCTAAACACAATTTGATTTTTTTCAAGCTCTACTAATGACTTTTGTTCTTTTCAGGGATCCAGTTTCGTCTCCCTACTGCCTGTAGTGTGGATCGAACAGAAACCCCCACGCCAGGTAAAGCCACACATCCCAGTGAAGCCATACCACATGGTGCGTTCATGTTCAGAATCGTCACGCTCATTCAGACCCTCTCAGATTTTCATGTCAGTCCAAACTCATATGACCTTTTCTCGTGAAATACAAAACAAAATGCCAAAGATAGTCTTTTCCACACAGTGAAGATGCATGGTGATCTGAAGTCTGGACTGACAAAACAAACCAAAGCCGAACAAAAACAAAACAAATCAAAATAAAGCAAAGCATAGCAAAACAATGAAATAACAGCAAAACAAACAAAGGCCAGGCAAAACAATGAAACAAAACAAAGCAAGGAAAGGCAAGGTAAACAATGAAACAAAATAGAGCACAGTAAGGCAAAACAAGAAAACAAAGCAACAAAACAGTAAAATAAAGTAAGCCAAGGCAAAACAAATAAAACAAAAGCAAGACAAAACAAGGCAAAACAAAACAATGAAAGGCAAAACAATGAAACAAAGTAAATCAAGGCACGGCAAAAAAAAAATGCAACAAAAAAGCAAAGCAAGGCAAGACAAAACGACGAAACAAAAAAAAAAAAAGCAAAGCAACAAAACAAGCAAAGCAACTAAACAAGACAAGACAACAAATCAAAACAATGCAAGGCAATTAGAAACGACGAAAGAAAACAAAGCAAAGAAAGGCAAGGCAAGGCAAAACAATCAAAGCAACAAAGCTAAACACAGTAAAGCAAAGCAAGACAAGGCAAAAAAAAACAAAGCAAGACAATACAAAACAACTAACAAAACAAAGCAAGGTGAAACAACAAAACAGTAAAGATAAGGCAAAACAGCAAAAAAAGCAACAAAACAGTAAAGCAAAGCAAGCCAAGGCAAAACATCAAAACAAACAAAGCAAAACAAAGCAAACAACAACACGTGATATTCAGCTTGTTTTCTAGGGAAATGTTGTCACTAATGCTGATAAGGCTCTGTACACACATTATTAGAATATCTACTCTTATATCGCTGGGCTGCTGTTTTACTGTCTATTATCAGGCACCACATGCACTGAATAGCTGATTTTAGTGGAGACTGAACATCTGTTGTTGATTAAACAGTCACACTGAAAGTTTTATAACTCATTCAAGTTGGCATTAAAATTCAGAACATGCAGCTTAACACATGCACTGATAAACAGTTCAAGATTCAGTTCACAACCTTATGTGCTATGCACAAGTTTAGGTAATACACCTAACAAATTAACACTGCTATAGCATCAAATATGTTAATTAGTGTGTAATTAGTTAAGTAATGTCATAGTAGGCTGAAATCTCAGGATACAGCCTTAGGCTTTCAGCAACAGAAGTGTTTCTTCCCAGTGTGCAGGTTTGTAATGAAGAATACACATGCACCTGAGCTAATGTAAATGAATGATTATTTTACAAGACTTCACTCATGTTTCTTCAGATCATGTATGATAAATAGGTGAAAATCAATGAATAAATAGAAGGAATACTGTATATTGTACACATACTGTATGTATTAAATGTATTAAGATGTATCTGTGTTCTTTGGAAATAACAAATTCTAATCTTCACTAGTGATTCATGGTTTTGATCATGCCTGCTATCATTGTTTCTGTATTTAGCACATGTGTGGCATTTGATAGCCCCCTGATAACTGTTGCCAAAACACCAAATCATTCAGCAGCCCTTCATTGGCACACTGGGCTTTCGGAGAAAAAACTGGGCCATTCAAGATGTGTTTTTACAAGCTAACAAGACACTGCTTTCTCAGAGATATGAGAAAAATAAACCTAAAACACATACACATACAGATTTTCAAGATTTTGTAGAAATGCATATGTGTAGGCTATACATGCAAATCCATATTTTCACAGCCATTTATTGAGGTGAGGACTGAAGATGTGGTCACAATAACCATTGTTTGTCAAATTTTCACAGGCGAAATCCACATTTCAGCAGGAATCCACATGACTGGGAATTTTGCACAAGGGCAAAATATTTCCCCATGCAGATTTCACAAAAGATTGAAATCCGCCACGTTGACCAACAAAAATCTGTTTGTTTGTTTTTCCGCTATATGGGAACCTCACCTTAGTAGATGTAAAATATCTACAAGAAAATGTTAGTTAAAATAATTTTGTGTTTAAAAAAATGTGAAGTGTTCAGGGTGTTGTTTCATTTTTCATAAAACTTTTCTTTTCTTAAAGTGAATCAAATTATCAGATTTACTCACACTCCTTTATTTGTGTAACGGGGCTGACGAGACGTGAGACGTGTGGATCCATCTGCAGGCTTTATTAAAGAGAAGTGGTAAACAGGCAGGGTCAAACAATGGCAAACAGGTATATGGCGGGCAAAACACAAGAATAGTCCCAGGGCTAGCGTAGGTCACCGATCGGCAGACAGAATCACAGGGGCGAGACGAGAGGGAAAAATCCAGGAATACAGGCAAAGATCAGAAACCGCGGAAACAGGCAAGGCAAGGCAAAACAAGGAAAACACAGAGACTCGGAATGGGACTCGGAAAGGGGTACGGGCTAAACAATACTCAGCAGAGAAAGGTGGTTAGAGTGGGTGTTATATAGTGAGTGAGGTGATTAGAAACAGCTGTGTGCAATGAGTGCAATCAGTGCAGTGTGCAAATCGTGCAAAGAATGATGGGATATGTAGTCCGGGGTGCTATGCAACAGTTTGTGTTGTGCGAGAGTCAATGTAATGGAAAGGGTGACCTCTGGTGGTGAATAAACGGAAGTCCATGGACCGAATTCGTGACAATTTGAAATACAATCTAAATAGAACAGATGTAATTTTTTAAAGTTAATAAATACATATGGCATGATTTATGCTGATAATGTGTTAATTAAATGGCAACATTTATCATATATTATTATTTCAGTATTATTCAGGATCATTTTGTTAAACTGAAGTGTTGTACTTTCCAAACGGAATTGGGAAAAAATGTTTTGAATTATTTTCCGAACATTCCTCAACCATCTGCCATTGAAGAATAGATCAGACATACAGTATGAGTCCTGCAACAGATGTTTTATTCAGATTCGAAAGAATACAGGATGAAACTATATAAAAGATATCAAGATATCAAATCAATCAGCTTCAGTGTTGCTTTGTGTGTCAGTATGGTTGTCTCTGCATATAGCCGCGATAGGAGAAAATTACATGTTAAAATACATCCGAATTCAGTTTTAAATCTTCCACACTTCCAGAGAGTGGTTGCAGAGATGAGTCATATTCTGTTGCTCTTGGAGTTTTTATATTTAATCACAGCTGATGAAGTGTTTGACATGCTGATGACAGAATTAATTATGACACCGAGCATCAACACAACAGGTCATGAATGGATTATTGTTTTCCTCTCTTATACAACCCTACATTCTATTTTTGGAAGTGTTTTACTCCTCTGTATGAATCACACGTCTCTCTCACCCACATTTTTCCCTTCAGTCTGTGACTCATTCAGCAGTTTTATAATAGTGTGCTATTTGCAGCCCGTGGTTTTGATTGGCACATCATATGTAGACTGTTACATTTAACCACACTGAGGTATTTTGTCATGTTGGCAAATACACGCACCCTGCAGGTGCTGCAAAGTAGGTCTGTATTTCCTTCTTTTTTAAATTTTTTATCCTGTTTGAGGTCAGGGGCAGCTTGATTTTTCCAAGGCTTCATTGCTTTCAAAGAATCAAGCTGGATTAGCACCAGGTTTGGGTTGCACAAGCCAGAACTGACCGGAGCAGGAGCGGAGCAGTAGCAAAATAGACAAACTGACAACTGTTATCAAATTGTATATGGCATTAAACTTGAATGATTCACACTCTCTGCTTCCTGCTTTCCATATATGGGCTGCTCAGTGAATGTGTAAAATGATTGGCAGGTAAAAAGCACCTCAAAATCTTCTGATTGGCTAAGGGATGTCAGTCTCAGAGAAATGTGATTATGTTTCTTAGAGATTATGCAGTGAGATCAAAGTAAATTCTAAATATTTAGGAAAATATTCAGGATCTAAAATGAAGAGGTAAATATATAAAAAAGTAAATACTGTAATTGCAAAATATTTCCTTTTAATATACCTGTTTTTTATTTGTTTTAATACATAATAGATTGTATGTATTTACTTTAAATAGATTTTTAATAATGTAATTTATTACTGATTTATTTAAAAATATTTGGTAACATTATAATTATCTTTACTGTCACATTTGATCAACTGCATCCTTGCATGATTAAAAAGTATAAATTTCTTAAAAAAAAACCTGGTAATACAATTTTAATCCACTTTAGACATTCTACTAACTATAAGTAACTTATTAAACTAACCATAGCCTTACAGTTTACTAATATTCTAATGAGAGTTAGTTGACAAATAGTTGCAAAGTTACTTACAGTTAGTACAATGCCTAAAGTGGCCTATCAAAATAAAGTGCAAACAATTTGCTTGCTGAGGGGAAACAGTTGTCTTTTTATGACACTGAATATTTTAAACATATTCAGGAATTTCATTCATGGAAGATACGGTAGTTGCAAGTAAATGAGAAACATTTGACAAACTAATACCTTTAATGCACAGTGTTTTGCCCCACTCTAAACATCCCTTAAAATTAAATCAGAATGAACTACTCTTTGCCATATTAAGATACAGTATGCATCAGATTTAATGTGGATAGTCAAAACATTGGCTTGCAAGACAAACAGTCTTTGTCTAGTGAGACTGCATTGTCAAGCAGGAACAAAAGAGAATATCTGCAGTTTATAAGAGCTGCTGGGACACACGAATAATACAGATACTGTGAACAAAAGAGCACAGAATTGCAGAGTACCAGCTCACTTCAAGCACTGGAGTGTCCAATTTGCTCACTATACACATTATTCCATTTTTTAAAAAGACGTATTCTTGTAGGTTATGGTGTTCTCTTGTTATTAAAGATACACTGTGTACACTAACTTTTTTTGTTGGAAATTAACTAAATTGAAATAATAAGTTAAGGTAAGCCTATAGAATATTTTAGAGTTGTCAAGATGGATTTAATTGGAAACTGCACAATTTTCTGATTTATGTTTACATTATATCCATAAATAAAGGAAAGAAGGTCAGGCTACTACTATATATAAAGTGGAAGAAGCTTGAAGCCACAAAAATTGAAAAGCATTTTCAAGCAAAAAGGAAAAGTGCAGAGTTAAACATGGATCAACATAGTTTGCAATGCATTTGCTGTGCGTTGACTAGGTTCACAAAACAATCTTTATGTTGGTGACAATGCCAGAACAGTTACTACTTTGCTCTGTTTGTCTATAAATAGCCTTCCCAAGTTAATGTTTATGCCATTATCTGATGTGAATAACCATTGTTATGTTTAATGTCAGGACTGACAAACTTTTGTAAAGGTAATCGGTCAAAACAACAGCACCATATAAGCTACTCACCTACTTATGAGAAAGTTTTTTTTTTTTTTCAGATATCCGTCTTTTGATGTTGGGAGAGTTCTGATGTTGTTAGTGAGATTCCCATTTTCTGTAACCATGAGCAAAGCAGTGCTCCTCTGGAAGCTAATGCACAACTCAGTACAGTAATTACCTAAACAATGTCCCTCCGTGAATAACTTACAGTTTTATGCTTCAACCGATAGAGGGCCAAAGGTTGCATAGTGTAGCTTTAAAATGGTTCCTAGAAGAGACAATGATCAGACATCTGCTAAACAACTGTGATAAAGGTTGAGTTTCTCTCGGATCCATTGCTCTGTTGTGATCAAACCATCTACATCCATTGTTTTGAAGCTTAAAAATAAATATCTAGCACACCGACTCCTGAAAATGCTTTTTTTCCCCTCTTTAATCTAACATATCGTTCATCTGTTTCGTTATAGCGGTAGTGACATATACACCTGACTACAAGAAGATTCCTCCACCTGTTCCTCCTCGTTCCACCACTAAGCCGCTGATTTCTGTAACAGCCCAGAGCAGCACAGAGTCGACGCAGGATGCGTACCACGAGGGTCGGCCATCACGGGGAGGGCTTTGGGCACCAGATAGCCTCAGTCGGGTTATCTACAACTCCACCGACAGCCTGGATAGCGCAAAGGCGGTGACCCTAGCAATGGAAACCGCATCCAAGCGCCTCACTTCTGCGGGGAGCTACAGCTCCGTTCAGACCTGCGATAAGGCCATCCTGGTGTCCAAAGCAGAGGAATACCTCAAGACTCCACGCTCTTCCATCGGGATACAGGTAAACCTCCCTCAAGGTTTTAGGTTTGTGTCTCAGTTGGTCATTGCCTCTTTGTAAACCCAATGGCTTTGTGTCTCACCTCAAATCCAAAAATAGCTGGCAGCATTCAGACAGTGACTCACCCACCCAGAAAGTGCACACAAAGACTCCTCATATAGCTAGATTCTGTGGCGGAGAAGATGAGATTGCAGATTGACTCTGAACAACAAAGATTAATGATGCTGCTTCTCTCTGTGGGCTTGTTCCTACACAGGACCAACAGTCAACCGCAGCACGCAGGAACTCAAACCACCCGACCTTTAAACCTGCCACTGTGGCAAACAATACTGTTCAAAAGCACCCTACACATTTAGACACTTTTATCCAAAGCAACTTGCATTGCAATCAAATTTTACATATATTTCTATCAGTTCTTATATTCCCTGTTAATCAAATCCAAGACCTTGATGTTGCCAGCGTCATGTTCTACTGTGTGAGCAACACTTTATTGCAACGTGGCTCGTAAGGGTACAGTATTGCTTTCAGTGAAAAACATTTGGTGTCAATAACCTGATACAAAGTTTCTAGGAATTTTATCATCATAAATCTATTAATGGTATTGTTGGGAATACTTTGGTCATCATGATATGTTGGGTTATTAATTTGAACAGCTAGAGTAATCACTTTATGAAATTGAAAGTGAAAGTGAAAGTGACGTGACATGTGGCCAAGTATGGTTGTTATCTGAGGTGTTATATATACACATATATCTGAATGTATTATTTATATACACCTAAAAGGGATAGTTCACTCAAAGATGTAAATTCTGTCATCATTTACTCACCCTCATGTCGTTCCAAACGTATAAGACTTCAATTCAGCTTCAAAAACACAAATGAAGATATTTTCCTGAGAGATTTCTGACCATCCATTGGTCCATTCGTCCATTCCACCAAAACTTTGACAACTGAAAATATTGTAAAAGTAAAAATCGAGCAGTTTAATCCAAGACCTCTAAAAATCGCTTTAGATGAACAACATTTAGCCTTTTATTCACATAAAAAAAATAATAAAAAAATTAACACACATGTATAGAGAACATCAAACTATAGTAGTCAACATTTGAAGTGGATCAAAAAAGTTCATCAAAGTTGTCCTAAGACAAGAGCGCATTTTGGTTTTAGGTTTTAGGACAACTTTGATGAATAGTTTTGATCCACTTCAAATGTTGACTAGTGTAGAAGCTCAAAGATGCAAGAACCAGTAAGGCTTGTTTGTATGTGTTTAGAATGACATCAGGGTAAATTTTCAATTTTGGGAAGACTCTCCTTTATATTTTAATATTTTAGAGCATCTAACACAACCCCCTACCACTAAATCTAAATCAGTATTGGGCCCCATGGGAGTGAGAATGAGTTGAAAAATTATAGATGCATTTTAGTGAGTTTAGATGATTTTAGCCACGATACTAAAGACATGTTTACAGCACTAGCTGAGAGAGATGTGGAATATGGAAAATACATCAATAAGTCATAAACTTCCAGAAGACTTTGAACTTGTTTAAAATGCATTACTGTATATTCATGATGCAATTTACAGGGATTCATTACTCTGGATGTTGAAAAAACTAGCTGTCGCCACCAGAACTAATAATATGAAACGAAATCAGGAATGAGAGGAAGGTCAATTTACTGTATGAAAGGCTTATACTAAGCAATAAACCATGTCTCCAATGTTTGGTTACAGTTTACAGTAGGTTAGTATTGTGAACATTAATAACTGGTTACTAGCAGCGTTGGAGAAAGTTACTTTTAAAAGTAATGCATTTAGGGTTGGGACGATAGACGATGCCATCGTCCATCGCCGATGGCTGATAGACATCACGATGTTGAGCTGACATTGTGATTCCACCCCATACCCCCGGCAATCCGCCGCATCCCAATACCGTGTTCGGAAAGAAAATGACGTGTATATGGAACCCCTAAAGGAAATAAATACGAGATGGGAGGAAAATACATATTTTCATAATTTCTCTCGCAGTTATATCATTGGGTAATTATACTGTATATAAATTGCGGATTGCTGGCATCAGAGAGCCGCTATAATGCCTGGCATTTAAAATGCTTTTGAATGCACGATCTCTTTTTAGTTTCACTTTCGCTTTCGAGATTCGCTATCGCATGCACTGTATTTATACTATGGAGTGGCAGTACTTGCCACACATTTTACAAGATTAGATGTTTGTCAGTGGGGCTGAGGATCTGCAAATCATTCGCCATCGTCCTATCAGTCATCTCTCCTTACTCTGTTTATGTGGTAAGTTAAATTTTATGTAGGCTACTGTAATGTAACAGGCAACTGTTAGCAATTGTTTTCTGAATACGAATTCACGCTTCAGGCACACCCACCCCAACCCCCCGATGTCATCGTCCATCGTGATGTTTTACTGTAGACATCGTCCGATGCCAATTTTGTAGACATCGCCCAACCCTAAATGCATTACAATATTGCGTTTCTCCCTAAAAAAGTAACTATAGACACTGGTTAATAAAATGGGATTAAATACATAAAGGATATTTGTGTTATTTAACATATTTTATTATTGCAGGCTTGAGTTGGGAAAACAAAGTAACTGGTGTTACTTTATTGAAAAATTAACTCTTGCAAATTAAAAAGGAATATGTTACTTTACTAGTTACTTGAAAAAGTAATCTGATTGCATAACTTGCGTTACTTGTAATCCGTTACCCCCAACACTGGTTACTAGGATCCTGTGTCTCAACTGGGCTCTTGAGCAGGCTGCTTTAGGGGGCTGTCCTTATATCAAGTGTGCTATAAATTGCCTCAGATAACAAAGTGTCTGTGAAATGACAGCTCTTTAAGGGGAGTCTCATATGTGTGCCTCTAAGCTGTTGTTTTCTCTTCTGGGTCTGTGCTAATGTGTTCATGCCACCCACAGGACATTGTATTATATTTACATTTACATTTAGTCATTTAGCAGACGCTTTTATCCAAAGCGACTTACAAATGAGGACAATAGAAGCAATCAAAACTAACAAAGAGCAACAATATGTAAGTGCAAATGACGAGTCTCGGTTAGCCTAACGCTGTCAAGGAAACGAGGCTGGATTCAGGTGCGGGTTCAACAGAGGCTTTATTGTACCGAGAAATCACCGCGGGCAATGAGCGCCTTCGCGGACAGTCAGTGTGGACGCGGAATCCCCAACCACACAGATGGGGAGATAGCAGCGGCTGGAACAAGCCGCAACCGTGGCAGTGGAGATGAAGCCGGGGGGGCAGCTCGCTAATCCGAGCGAGAGGCTGAGCAGCCCAACAACGAGCCCGCAGAGTCCCAGGGTAGGCGAATGCCGGAGGAAGCCCATGGGTTCCTGAACGCACAGAGAGGTGCGGGAAAATATACAGGCAGCTACGAGCACTGGAGCCTGGACGAGACAAGACAGGACTGGTAAGCGATACTAACACTGACAGTCAGAGCAAGGGAATAATCACAACAATCTGACAAAAGACAGAGAAACACGAGGAGCTATAAGGGGAAGCTAATGAGATGACCAGAACCAGGTGTGAAACAAGAGGCGAGCAGATAACAAGGAGGGCGGGGAAACAATCATGCTGACATAAGTGCACGTGGCGAGCTGTCAAAACAACCACGCACAACAACACACAAACACAGAGACAAGAAACAGGTGATCAGACCCGAGACCCGACAGTACCCCCCCTCCCAGGAGCGCCACGAGGCGCCCCGGGAGGAGGCCCACCATGTCGCCGACGGAATGCCCGCTCGCATTGCCCATTGATCTGTGGATGGAAACCGGAAGACAAGCTCCCTCCCAGTCCACGAGATACTGAAACCCTCTGCCACGGCGCCGCTCGTCGAGTAATCTCCTAACCGTATAGGTAGGGGAGCCATCCACAAGACGAGGGGGTAGGGGGGCGGGAAGATCGCCGGCAGGGTTAAGGGGAGAAGAAAACACAGGTTTAACCCTAGAGATATGAAACACAGGGTGAACCCGACCAAGAGCAGGAGGGAGCTTGAGCCTGACCGCCACTGGATTAACCACCTTGGTGACGCGGTACGGCCCAATGAATCTGGGCGCCAGTTTACGAGAGGGCACCCGGAGAGACAGATCCCTGGTAGAAAGCCATACCCGTTGACCGCACACATAGGTTCCACGATCAGTTGCGCGGTCTCCCGGGCGGAGGGCAATTTGGGCAGGGGAATGAAATGAACCGCCTTGGAAAAGCGATCCACCACAGTGAGAACCACCGTGTTACCCTACGATGGGGGAATCCCAGAGACAAAATCAGGGCAATATGTGACCATGGACGGGAAGGGACAGGAAGAGGATGAATCAGACCATCGGGCACTTGCCCCCCTCGACCGGCCTCCTCTACTCGCCGCTCGATACCCCAAGAAAGAGCCCCGACCACCACCCCCTCAGGAAGGATGGCTTCGGCTGTAAGCTCCCCCTCCGGAGCCCCGAACAGGCGCGAGAGAGCGTCCGGCTTGATGTTCTTGGACCCTGGCCGGTACGAGAGGGTGAAGTTGAACCGGCCAAAGAACAGTGCCCAGCGGGCCTGACGCGAGCTCAGCCTCTTGGCCGAACGGATGTATTCGAGATTCTTGTGATCCGTCCAGACCAATAAGGGAGAGACAAAACGGGACTTTAATGTGTCAAAGGCTACCTGAGCATCCTGGTTCCACCTGAAGGACACCTTGGTGGAGGTTAATGCCGTGAGCGGAGCAGCGATCTGACCAAAATTCCTGATGTATCGCCGATAGAAGTTGGCAAAACCCAGGAAACGCTGCAGGGCCTTACGGGAGTCGGGGACTGGCCACTTGGCGACAGCTTCTATCTTAGCTGGGTCTGGTTTAATCCCCCTGGTGGAGATGATATGGCCAAGGAACTTAACAGACTTGGCGTGGAATTCGCACTTCTCCGCCTTGACGAACAACTTCTAATAGGTTCTCTAATAGGCGCTGGAGGACGCGTCTAACGTGC